TAAGAGCTGGTGGCCAGGAGCAGACTTGCAGAATGTGCCCTTTGGAGATGTAAATTATTATATATGCCTGAGTGGGTTTTTTTGTTTGTGTGTTTTTTTAAAAAGCTAAAGTGGATAGAGAGAAATACTGTTAACTGATGGTACATGGAGGGAATTATAATCAATGTAATGAAACAAGGTAAATGATTTGTTGAATGTAAAATTGATAATATGCCCTGTAAACTTTCACTCAATCCACAATAAAAACCTTAAAAAAAAGGAAAAAAAGGAGATATATAAATTTCTAAACATACACCAAAATGTTCTAAAATATTTTTAAAACAGGTCTGAATTGGTTTTTTAATTTTTTACTTTGCCTTTTAAAAATGCTAATAACATCTCATATAAAACTGTGTAGGATAAGCACTGGAATGCTAACCAAAAGGTCAGCAGTTCACACCCACCAGCTGCTCCTTGGAAACCCTGTATGTACGTGGTCCCCAAAACCAACTTGATGGCACTTAACAGGAACATTTTTTTAAGTTATTAACTTACATACAGTGAAATGGAGAAATCTTAAATATGCAGAGCAATGAATTTTGATGAATGTATCACTTACGCAGCTGGATAAGAGTATCGACATTTCCTTTCTAATCCTTTCCAGTCAGTACACCCCAAATCTAAGACAGTAGGTACTCTCATTTCTATCACCGTAGACAGAGTGGACACAATTGTTTACTATGTCATCTTCTCTGGCTTTTTCTTAATAGAATATTTTTTTGAGTTTCATTCATGTTGTGTGGACCAAGAGTTTCTTTTTGATTCTATGCAGTAGTCCATTGGATGAATAAACCAGAATTTGTTTATATACTCCCCTAATGATGGATACCTGAACTGTTTCCAGGTTTGGGCTATTATAAGTAAGGTTGCTATAAACATTCTTATATAGAATGTCCACATTTCTTTTGGGTACAGGCAATCCTCAGGTTATGAGCAAGATCTGTTCCCATGGGTGTCTTTCGGATTTGTAAATAAATCAGAACAGGCACACGTGGTTCTTATTTAAGCTACTTTAGTGTAAGAGAGCAGCTCTGGTGGCGCATTGGTTAGCTTGACTACTAACCAAAAGGCTTGTGGTTCGAACTCACCAGCTGGCTCCACAGAAGAACGATGTAGCAGTCTGCTTCAGTAAAGATTACATTCTTGGAAACCCTATGAGTCCTTTAGGTTTATTGTGAGACAAAATTAACTCCATGGCAATGGGTTTGGTTTTTGTTTGATTAGTGATAGAAAAAACCTGCAATCTCTTTAATGATTTAAAAGCATTACGTGCAGTAAGTAAAGGTGACTGTGATGAAGAATTTGCTGAAAACGGGGGTTGGGGGTATAATATTTCAAAGCAAGGAAATTTTACATAACATTACATAGCTAGTTCATAACCCAGGTACTGCCTGTAAATACCTAGGAGTGGGATGGCTGGGTCATAGACAATGGATATGTTTAATTATCTTAGAAAATGCCATATAATTTTCCAAAGTGAATGTAACCACTTTCCATTCTGATCAACAAAAATGAGTTTCAGTTAAGTTGGTATTATTAGTCTCTTTTATTTTAGTTAGTCTAGTTTGCATTATGGTGCCAGTGAAGAACACTGAAAAGATCATGGACTGCCAGAAGAACTACAGCCAGAATGATCCTCAGAAGTAAAGACGGCAAGATTTCATCTCATATACTTTGGACATACTGTCAGGAGAGACCAGTCCCTAGGGAAAGACATTATGCTTGGTTGTTGATGTTAAGTGCCCTCCAGCATGGTAGAGGAAGACCCTCAAGAAAACGGACTGATACACTGGCTACCACAAAGAGCTCAAACAAAGCAGGAGCTGTGAGGATGGTATAACACTGGGCCGTTTTGTTTTGTTGTACATAGTGTCGCTATGAGTTGAAAGTGATTTAACAGCAACTAGCAACTAGCAAAAGCTCTGGGTATAAAACAATATCCCACAGAGGTTCTAGATTGTATTTCCCAAGTGACTTATGATAGAGAATCTATTCATATGTTTATTGGTTACTGAATTTTTTGAAGAGCCTATTCAAGTGTCTTGCTCATTTTATTTTTTAATCTGAATTGATCTTAAGGTTGGTTATAACTGTATCTCTCTAGAGCCACAAACTTCTTTTACTTCAACAGAATGGTGATAATGTCTAGCTGCAACCAAATGTCAACTCCCCAAAGGTAGGGATTTTTGTCTCTTTTGTGAATTGGCAAATCCCTAGAGCCTAGAATTGTGTCTAGAACATAATGGGTGTTCAATAAATACTTGTAGAATAATCAAATAAAAGCACATGCATTTTTCAATTTTGGAGAAGAGAAAATAAGAGGAGAAAGCATAATTCACTTTCTTGACTCTGTTATTAAAACACTATTACTGTCTGTGTCTGTCACACCCTTCTTCTTATATTTGGGTAACATGTCCTCTGCAAGCTGGGTTTAGCTGTTGAGGGCAAGGCTTCCAGAGCCAATAACCAAGGATTCTTCATACAACGTGAATGTTGATTTTATGCATTAAAATAATAAGAAGAAAAGGATCCCCAGGAAGGCAGACAACTAAAAGCTAATGAAACAGTGAAGCTTAGGTAACCATTATCAAGTGACTTAAAACTGCTAATTTTTCCTGAGGTTGTCCTTCTCTGGAATCTCCCAAGGTTTCCAACCAGAAGTTATTTGCATCTGGGCACAAATACAGTATTGTTTGCACCTCAGTTTGTAGTGAGGGCTCACCAAGTGAAGAGTTCAATCACTGAACTGTGGGAACTATGAGAGAAACAAAAATTAAGATTCATGGTGGAGAACTACTAGCAGTACTACTACTATAAGATATGTACACCTGCCTCCCAATGGGAGAGGAAAATGACAATGACCTAGCACAATTACCTGTCAGCTAAGAAAGAAGCCTAAGGAAGAACAATGCCAAGAAGAGCAGGCAAAGGAAACTTCTTCTCTGGATTCCCACCACGTACGGGCTGTAGTGTTACCTGTAGAGTCCGGCGCTTGTTATCCTCTGTGTGAATCCAGGCTCGAAGAGTCAACTCCGTAATAAAAATTTGGGCTGCCTTGGCAAACAGCACTGGAGCTTCTGCACTGATCATCTGCAAAAGAAGTAGATTCTCACCATCAATCACCAGCAAGTCTCCCAAGTCAGTTAGTCTCTTGCAATGGGACTAGGGGGCAAGTTCTATAAAATAAGATGGTAGCAGCCTCAAGAGAATCCATGATAAACTGATTTATTTTGAGAAGGGAAGATGGAGAAGGAATAGTCACTTAACATGGTATCGACCATGTGCTAAGCTAGGCCCTGTGCAGAGCATGTTCTTACCCTCCTAATAGCCTTCCATACAAACTGGTGTTTAAGAGAGGCAAAGTGACTTACCCATGGCTAAGGTTCTAATCCAAAGGACATTAGTGGTAGGGTTGAGGTTCTAATCCAAGGGAGACAATGTGGGGAAAGATAATGAGCTTGGAAAATCCAGGGATTTAGGTAAAATCTGAAGTATTCCACCCTGTTTGAACTTTATTTTTATATATTAGAAATAAGACGATAGGATAATCTTCTGTGTTACCAGCAGTGCTGTGGGGATCATATGAAATAATATACATACAAGCAACTAGCAGAAGTCAGCAATGTAAGCTGTCCTGCTGTATCTGACTGCAAAGGGCAAGCTCTTGGTCAAACAGGGCTGTGAACCTTGTAAAGGTGATCTGAGCAGGACAGAGTCATGGAAAGAAGTGGAAGATAAGGAGAACTGGGATCTGGATTCTGCTACTTTGGCTAAGTCATTTAACTTTCTTGTGTCTTTGTCCATATCTGTAAAATGGAATTAATAATGCTTATTTTATCAAATCTCACAAAAGTACTGTGAGCAGGAAATGGACCAAGAAAAGAGAAAATTACTGAGAACTATTAACCTCCTGTACAAATACAAGAGGCTATTATTTTTGAAAGGTAAGGTGTGAAATGTGGACTCCCAGAAATATAGAAATAGCCACCCCGAAATTAACCCTTTCACAAGTATAATTCTTACAAAACAAGCTCACAGATCAAAAGGTTAGAAGTGTCTATCATTATCACAGATTTTTTAGAGCTTGGAACAACAAACTAGGGCGTGCACTGATGCTAAGATGACAGGACTGTCCTGTTGATTTGATGTTATATGTTTACATTACACTGTGAAAATAATTGGGGGAGGTACCACCTGATTTACAAACAAATTCTCAGCATCATTTCACCAATGACCTATCCATCATTTTAGCTTCAGTATTATTTTTTTAAATGGATGTGAATTCACCTTCACATCTTCATCCAGTTTCATAATCTTCTTAATACGAGCCAGTGGAAGTTCCTGTACTCGGAAATCTTTCTGAAATAATCAACAAGACGTGCATAAATGAGAAGGAAAATCAAAGGGTGGCAGAGCATGACACAGGCATAAAAACACATTCTTATTGGCTTGGCTCAATCTCTCATGTCAAGAAATATGGCAGGAGAGGAGGTAAGATGAAATGGAGAAAATGTAAGCTTCAAACCAAAATCTTCTTTGTTTAATTCATGCAGAATTCAAGCACTTAATGGGTTTTAGTGTAAATTTATAATGGCTTCCAATAGTAGCCTCAAGAATGACTGTTAGATGTTGTCAGTTGATTCTGATCCATGGTGACCCCACATGTGCAGAGTAAAAAAAGTGCTGTCCACGGGGCTTTACATTTTTTGATCTTTTGAAAGCAGATCCTGGGTTAGGCATGTCTTTTGAGGAGCCTACGGGTGGGTTTGGATGGCCAACCTTTCAGCTAGGAGTCAAGCGCTTAACCATTAGTGTCACTACAAGGCTATTATTGTTGTTGTTAAGTGTTGTGGAGTTGGTTCCAACTCATAACGACTCTTACAGGGTTTCCGAGGAGTGGCTGGTAAACTTGAACTGCTTGCTTTTCGATGCTTCTCCTACAGCACCACACACCAGGACTCCGTCACTGCAGGTGAGCCTAACATTATCAAGTTTGCCTCATCACAATAAGAGAGGTGGCATTATGAATGCCCTTTTCCCCTTAATAAAGTTTACCTGTATGCAACATCTCTCAGGGATCCTGCTCTAAATTGTCAGTTCCTTTTTTTATTCAGGGGGTTGGTTCCGAAGGTTCTCTTCAGCTTGTGCAGTACTGCCCATTTCAGGCCTTTGCACTAACCTGACAACAGAATGGGGAGAGGATCCATCCCCAACACAGAAGCAGAAATCTTGTCTTCAAATTGTACTTTGTAGAGAAAAGGCCTGGAAATGGGAGAGGGCTAATTTATCAGTTCCCCTTAACAAACAGGACTGAGATTGAGGGAACCACTTAACTGTAGTGTAGATGGAATCGAGGAAAGGGCTTTTGACCAGCACCACTCAGTTACTGGAGTCCTGGTGTGGTGCTGTGGGTTAATGTGCCAGACTGCAAAGGCATCTGAACTGCAAGGTCGGCGGTTCAAGCTCACCAGCTTCTCATCAGAAACCCTATACAGGGTTGCTAAGGGTCAAAACTGACTCAACAGCACTTCACAACAACAACAACTCAAGTAATGGCAATTTAAGCCCTTTTTTGTTTAGAAACTATTGGTATTTAAACACATGCCCAATGATGGATGCAATTCTAGAAATAAGAAAAATCAATTGTGAGTTTCAGAGCTGCAATGAAGACGAGAAAGGTGCAAAGGCAGATTACTAAAATCAGCAAATTCTCTACTGGGACTAGGTGTCAAATGATTGAGTCTATAAATGGTCTGAAATGTGAATCATCAAACCTAGGAATTTGCATCATCACATTATGGAAGGAGCAGCCATTATTTGAGATTTGGTGTAATTAGCATGGGTAGTGAGTTTTCTTTTCCAAGATCCACAGAAAGCCCGAAGGAGCCCTGGGTTATATGTTGGCCTGCTAACCACAAGGTTAGCAGTTTGAAACTACCAGCACTCCACAAGAGAAAGATGAGCTTTCTGCTCCCATAAAAATTTATGGGCTCGAAAACCCCATACAGGGTCGCTATGAGTCGGAAACCTACTCGACGACACAAAACCACCGCCACCCACTGCTGCCACCACAAAAAAAACACAACTATATGTCAAAGAAGGGAGCAGGGCAGCACCAGTTTCCCCAGAATTTTTTTTGCTTTTTTCATCAGAAGGGAAGAACAACTATTTTGATAAAATGGGCTCCCAAGACATCTGATTTCTTCATACAAACCCAACAAGTTTCTTGGCTACCACTCAGCTCTACAAACTTTAAATACCAATTTTTCATCTTTTCCAATTCCAAATTTGGTATCAACAATTTCCAAGAAGCCTCTACTAATTAACCCTGCTGTGGCAGAGGCTTAAAAGTCTAGTTTTTAAAAACATCACCAAAAGTAGACAGTAGAGCATATTCTTTCTATTCTTACCTTCTCTCCTCTTTGGTTTACTCATTCATGCAATTTAACTAATAGTGAATGTACCCACTACATAAAAGATACAAAGTTAAATAGATCCCTACCCTTCAACAGTTTATAATTTAATTATGAAAGAATCACATAAGAACATAATCCTCTACTCTATACCAAAGGAGATGTAAAATCCTACAGGGATACAAAGAAGAGAATGACCAATTGGTGAGGGAGTTTAGAGAGGAGTGAGAGGTAGGTGGTGGTGGTTACGTGCCATGGAGTTGGTTCCGACTTATAGCGACCCTGTATAGGGTTTCCAAAGCTGTAAATCTTTACAGAAGCAGAAAGCCTCAGCTTTCTCCCATGGAACAGCTGGCAGTTTCGAACTGCTGACTTATAGGTTAGCAGTCCAACTTGTAAACACTATGCTACCAGAGCTCCTTAGGGGAGTAAGAGGGGTTGGGAAATGTTCCACAGACAGGCTAACACCAGAATTGTGTCTAAGGGCTGATGAGAGCTTGCTTGTTGGAAAAGCAAGAGAGTATTATTCAGATAGAGGGAACGGCATGTGTAGAAACATGGAGACACAGAGAATACATTCTATTTAAATTGTAGAGTATGACCTGAGTACAGAATGCAGCAGGAAATAAGATGCCAGATCGGGGCCGGATCCAAGAGGAATAAAAAAGTTTAACAACAAAAACGAATCATTGGTCTTCCTACTTGTGAGGCATATCAATGAGATCCTACACAGAAATGTCAAAGAAAACGTTAGAGACGATTTCTTTGGAAGGTGTCTTAGAGTGATACACAGTACAAGATTAGAACCATAAGATTTCACTTTCTGACATGGATGCCCTGATTTGGTTTGGTTGTTCAGTACAATTTTCATAAGACAGTTCTAAGATTACTTAACCAAAGCCCAAAACTGATAAATTACCTCATTCTCCAACTTGAAAGAGTAAATCTAATTTTAGAAGTTCTTAAGACTATTCTTTAATCAAAAGCAACAAGAAAGGGTCAAGGATAAAAAGATTATAATCTTTCCATTTTGTTTGTTGTTGTTAAGTGCCATCACGTTGGTTCTGACTCATAGCGACCCTGCCTGTATAAGGCTTTCAAGGAGCGACAGTACAAACCTACCCTGCAGTCCAGCACATTAACCAACAATGCCACACCACTTGGGAATGTTACAAAATGAGGTATAGATTTACAAAAGAGCACTGTACCCAATATTCCAACCCCAATCTTTTCTTTAGAGAGAAACCAATTTTCGTGAGTCCCAAACCTTGAGATCTCAAGGGACAGTGAAAAGAAAAGTAACTCTTCTGACAATTATCTTGGGGGAGGGGTACACTCATCATTGCAGACAATAGCCTGGGTTGTCTATAATTTTATCCTAATTTCCCAGGCACATGTAGGCTTTATCTTGTTGGGGACGGGAGCACCTTCACTGAATAGCTTGTTGCTGTTGTTAAGTGCCATCGAGTTGGTTCTGACTCATAGCGACCCTGTGCAGGGTTTCTAAAGAGCAGCTTGTAAGCTTGAACCTCCAACCTTGCAATTCATACTGACCTTACAGTCCAATGCATTAACCCACAGTGCCACACCAGAACTCCCCATGCCACTGAAAACCATGCAACTAAGTTATGTATAATCATGTAACAACACTTCCTTCTGAAGCTCATCAAAATGGAAAAACTAACCTATACTGAGTCTTTCTACTTTTACAAGTGATTATCAACAAGATGGTATAAGCACTAGACAGCAAGGTCAGTTTGAACCACATGGTTGGCAGTTCAAACTCAACAGTTGCTTTTCAAAAACTCTCTACAGGGTCACTATAGGTTGGAACCGATGCAACAGCACTTAACAACACCAACAAGGTGGAAAGCGTGGGGGAACCACAAGGTTCGTGACTAGAGCCTGCCAGCTGCTCCAGAGGGAAAAACTGAAGTATTAAGCTCTCACAAAGATTTAAAACCTCAGAAACCTTAAATGGGGTGTGAACCAACTTGACAGACTTAACAACATAACAAGGCAGAAGAGCAGATTCTCTTTCAGAACATTCTCATGACCCTGAACACAACCAGAAAACTACATTAAAGACTGCTGACACCTGAAATTGCCAAGTTTCAAAAAGTCTGGATTTACCCGATAAGAATTTGGAGCCAAAGAAAAGTCAATGGGTCTTGGTTGTGCTAAAGAACATCCGGAGTTTCAAATAATGATGAAAAATCTTTTCCAGGCCTACCCAGTCAGGCAATCCTGCAAAGTCAAGATTTTAACCCTATCAAAAGTCATGATTATTAACCTTTGATGCAAGTTAAAACCACCTGGGGAGCTTTAGAAAAACAAGATACCAAAGATGTACCCAGACCAACTCTATCAGGAACTCTGGAGAGTAAAGTCCTGATACTGTTTTTAAAACTCTGCAGGTGCCTACGATTGATCCACAGTAGATTAAGAACCATTACTTTACACCTAGACCAACATTGGTACCACTTGGAACTAAAAAGAAATGCAGGACCTGAGGACCTACCCCAAACTACCTAAATTAGAATCTATATTTTAACAAGACTCTTATGTGTGCCACACAGACAATAAAATTTGAGAAGCACTGTTCTAGAGAAAGGGATAAAATCATATTTTGCAATGGTTCACCAGCCTCTACCACTGAGTCCTTGTTTAAATAGTTACCTGATTTTACTGTAAAGTTAGAAATGTCAATGTTCAATTGGTAGCGTAGTGGTTATGAATAGGGCTGCGAACCTTAAGGTCAGCGGTTCGAAGCTACCAGCCGCTCCGCGGGAGAAAGACGAGGCTTTCTACTCCCGTAAAGATTTACACCCTCGGAAACCCTGTACAGGGTCGCTATGGGTCGGAACCGACTCGACGTCACATAACAACAACAAGGACTGAAAAGATGAAACTAGAATTTAAAAGAAAGTGACCTAGGCATTAAATTACTGCTAATTCAAGGCTTAATGAGATGCAAGGAATAAATAATAGTTCAAGGAGAATTAGATAGTTCTTCAAAAGAGTCTGCTTCCCACCTCCCAAAAGGAAAGTTAGCTTTCTCTTCTCTACTTTTAAAAGAGATTGAGAGGAATACAATTCAATGGAAAGAAGTCTGTTGATTATTGTTCCCAGAGCTCTGCTGCGAAGGAATATGTATAATTGCACAATCTCTCTGGTGTACAATCATTTTGGTATGACTATAACTAACTTCAATCCCCATTAAACACCACCTAAGTTTATGAACAGTTACAGCGCTTGTAAGAATGAGGAGACTATGACAAACAAGAAGAGATTAAAAATATAAACCACTATTGCAAGATTCAGACTGGACCAATATTTTAATACATCATGGACTACTTCATCCAGCAAATAACTATTATTTGTTTTGGAACACCTGTCTCCCATCTTTGAGATACCATAATACCTTATGAATAGTCTCATCAGTTTGATTTATGCTTGGAGAGACAAAACAATGGATTTTTGGAAAACCTGTTAAGACATTTTGAGGTGTCAATCTAAGAGGTTCTGACATAGCTGAAGAATTCTGGCTGTTAAGTGCTGCTGAGTTAAACTAATGATAAGATGCCTGGCTGTACCATTACACAGACAGAGGTGCAGTCAAAGACACAGAAGTCTTCATGTGATGTGTTCACAGAATCCTTGCACAGAGGGGAAAAGAGTGTCTTACGGAAGAAAAAGTCATGAAGACTTTATTGGACTGCAATCTTGCTCAAAGTTGACAATCATATTGGCTTTGCATTGGATCTGAAGTAGAGGAGCAGGACTCATTCAAATATTTGCGCACCTGATACATGCAAAACATTGTTCTCGCCTGGGTAAGAAAAATGTAACAGGGAAGAGGTCTAGGGATCTTTTTGAAGGGCCCACAAGAAGAAAATTTCAGTCAGTCATCAACACAAGAGTGGTTAAAGATAGCGTTCCTCTTTGCTCTTCATCCACAAAAACCAGAACCAAAAATTGAATTCTTCAAAGTAATCCTCTTCAAACCCTTGTCTAGGTGCTAAAATTCAGTCCATGCCATAACCTGCTCTGTTGGCAAACAAGTTTGAAAAGTAAGCCAAGTATGGTAAAAACACAAAACCCAACAAAACAAAGAAAAGTTAAGTGCTGCATTTGAACCTCCAGAGCTCATATGGCCACTTGCCTAATCCCGGAATTCTGTTTCTGGGCTCAAGCTACTTGTTTACTGTCTGTTCTTCCACCAAAATACAAGCTCCTTGAGTGCAATGATCTTATCTGTCTGGTTCACTGCTGGAGCCACCAGAACTAGCACAGCCACAGGTGGTGTGTACTATTTGTTGAGTAAACAAATAAACTGACCTTGTATGTCACATGTTAAAGGCCACTAATCTTTAAGAATGACCATATTCGTTCTATATTAGGCAGGAATCCAGTGTCTGCTCTGCCAGGATGCCAATACCTCTAGGGCAGGAATGACGCATACAGCACAGGGAGTTCCTTGAGTATCTGCTAAATGGCACTAAACAGAACATTCTTCATAAGGATGTGACATTATATTCTGAAAATATTTCAATATAATCCTGTCTCACCTCCTGTTACTACTCTCATACATAAACTTTACTCCTACCCCAACTACTACTACACAGAGTTACTTCTAGCCACAATGATCTTCTTGCTGTTCCTCTAAATGCTGAGCCCCATGCCTTTATGAATGCTCTCCTTTGTGCTTCAGCTAAGCTCGCCCATCCTTTCTATCTGGTGAATGCTTACTTATATTTCAAGATCCAATAAAAATGTCCCAGCATGTGAAAGCATCTTTAACTCCATCAGGGAAAAGCAGGCTCCATGTCCTCTATGCTCTTACAGCACTGTAACTTGACTGCTTCAGGATCAGGGCTCACAACTGTGCCTGATTCAGTAAGCATTTAAGAAACATTTGCTGATTAACAACTCTGGTCATAAGTACTAGTTGTAAGTTACTCAAGGACCAGGATCATATTTGATTTGTCAAAGTCAGTAGTTCTCAACAGGGGGAGATTTTGCCCTCAAGGAAATATCTGGAATTGTCTGGAAACAGTTTTGGTTGTCCTCGGAGAGAGACATGCTATGGGTATCTATCAAGCAGAGACCAGAGATAATGCTAACAAACATCCTATAATGCATAGAACAGCCCCCTGCAACAAAGGATTATCCCAGGCCCAAGTGCCAATGGTACTGCTACTGAGAAACCATGGTCTAAATATATCTTTTGACACCTTGAAAGACTGCCTAGCTCATTAACAGATTTGTAGTTTAATAAAACTGACCAATAGTTATCACCAGGTTTTAGAAATCTGGTAAGCAGGTTGTAAGAATTTGGCAAGACTATCAAAATCAGGTCAAAATGGATGTCAGAAGAGACTCTGAAACCAGCTCTAAAATGTAAAGCAAATAGAAGAAATGAGGAGATACAAAGCTGAACAGAAAATTTCAAAGGTCAGCTTGAGAAGACAAAGTCAAATATTACAGCAAAATGTGCAAAGATCTGAAGTTAGACAACCAAAAGGTAAGAACACACTCAGCATTTCTCAAGCTGAGTAAACCGAAGAAAAAATTCATGCCTCAGCTTTTGTTACTGAAGGACTCTCTGGGCAAATTAATGAATGATGCAGAAAGCATCAAAAGAAAATGGAAGGAATACACCGAGCCACTGTACCAAAAAAGGAAATGGTCAATGTTCAACTGTTTCAAGTGGTAGTATATGATCAAGAGCCAATGATACTGAAGGAAAAAAATCCAAGCTGCACTGAAGGAACTGGTAAAAGAACGAGGCACCAGGAATTAATGGAATACAAATTGAAATCATTCAAGAAAGTGAGGTGGCAGTGGAGGCACTCACTCATCTATGCCAAGAAATTTGGAAGATAACTATCTGGCCAACTTATTGGAAGACATCCATATTTGTTCCCATTCTAAAGAGAGGTGACCCAATGGACTGCGGAAATAGATTTTTACAAAAGGCAATACAGAAATGGCTGCAACCATACATTGACAGAGAATTTCCAGAGATTCAAGGCGGATTAAGAAGAGGACGTGGAACAAGGGATATCATTGCTGACATCAAATGGATCTTGGATGAAAGCAGAGAATACCAAAAAGATGTTTACCTGTACTTTATTGACTACGCAACGGCCTTTGATTGTGTGGCTCGTGACAAGCTATGGACAACATTGCAAAGTATGAGTATTCAGGAACACTTAATTTTGTGCATGGACCAAGAGGCAGTTGTTCAAACAGAATATGGGAACACTGAATGGTTTAAAATTAGGAAAGGTGTGAGACAGGGTTGTATTCTTTCACCATACTTTTTTAACCTGTATGCTGAGCAAATAATCCAAGAAGCTGGGTTATATGAAGAAAAACGTGGCATCAGGATTGGAGGAAGACTCATTAGATATGCAGATGATACAACCTTGCTTTCTGAAAGTGATGAGGACTTAAAATACTTACTGATGAATATCAAAGACCACAGCCTTCGGTATTGACTGCATCTCAAGAAAACAAAAATCCTCACCACTGGACCAATAAACAACATTGATCAAGGGAGAAATATTGAAGTTATCAAGGACTTCTTTTTTTCTTGGATCAACCATCAACACTCATGGAAGCAGCAGCCAAGAAATCAAACAACAGACTGCATTATGCAAATCTGCTGTACAAGACCTTTTAAAATGTTGACGAGCAAAGACGTCAGCTTGAGGACTAAGGTGCACCTGACACAAGTCATGGTATTTGCAATAACCTCATATATATGCCAAACCTGGACAGTGAATAAGGAAGAACGTAGAAGAATTGATGCAGTTGAGTTATGGTGTTGGAGGAGAATACTGATTGGTGCCATGGGCTGCCAAAAGAACAGAGATCTGTGTTGAAAGAAGTGCAGCCAGAGTGCTCCTTGGAGGCCAGGAAGGACAAACTTCATCTCTCATACTTCAGACATATTGTCAGGAGGGACCAGTCACTGGAAAAGGGTATGTTTGGTTAGGTGGAGGGTCAGAGAAAAAGAGGAAGACGGATTGGCAAAGTGGCAGCATCAAGGGGCTCAAGTATGGCAACAACTGTGAGGTTGGCCCAGGACCGGGCAGTGTTTCGTTCTGTTGTGCACAGGGTTGTTAAGAGTTGGCACCTAACAACAACAACAACAACAATTAAATCAAGCCTGGGAGTACAGTGGCTCCACAGGATAAGCACTGGATTATGAACCACAAAGTCATCGGTTCAAGCCCACCAAATGCCCCATGGGTGAAAGATGAGGCTTTCTGCTCCCACAAAGATTAAAGCCTTGGAAACCCTATACAGGGCTGCTGTGAGTCAGAATTGATTCCACGGCATTTAACCACCACCACCAAATCAAGACTAACACATGTGCTACAGCTATGCTCTGCTTTTCTATATCCCCTGTAATAAATGCCTCATAATGAACTACCTCCAAGTCAAAGCATTACTACGTACCCACATGCCTACATAAAATCACGAGTTACCTCACCTAAGGCAAATCACATATATTTTTTTCTTTTCCCACCCAGAGGTCAAGAATGAGCTATGCTTTTATACACATGCCTGAGATTTAAAATGTCTTAAGTCTACATTTTGGTTAATCATTCCACAGCTCTTTCATTCTTCTCAAAAATTTCCCACAAAATATTCTCATTCTTTCTTACCACTGTTAAATTCCGGATTTCTTCCATGACACGAGGCCAGAAAGACTGTAGGCTTTGCTGAGCATCACTGCTGCTAGTACCACCAAATCCTCCTTCTGTAGACATTCTGACAACTGAGAACAAACACATACATGAGACACATTAATACAATCAAGTCAGACTTTATATCCAGGCTAGTTATTTATATCTCTTTTGGTAAATATTTTCACTAATTCCTTCAAGTTTTCATTCTAAGAAGGTATTACTGTTTTGCTGAAGGGATTTCTAGCAAATTTAAATCTTAGCAAAAATATATGGAGAAAGTTTTCTCCTCTCTGCATACACCACACAGACTATCAAGAAGTACCAACTAAAAAATCTCAAATTGCTTGAAATCCCAATGTGCACCTAAAACTTGTAGTTTCTTATTTGGGGGAAAAAGGCACTTGGCTGTCCTAGCATGACCATAATTTTCTATGTCATTATCAGCCAGAGCTTTTTCAAGGTCACCGTGGGCTTCTCACACTCCATGCCACAGCCTGCAACAGATACATTAAGGGTCTCAGCTATTAATACTGTACGGAGATGAATACCTGGAGCTTTGAAAAAAGAAGTCAATTGTAATACTTTTGGTTTAGATACCCTATTTTAGAATGGGATTACTGATTATTTTTCCTTCTAATCATGCAAATTTGCATTTAAGACACAAAAATACTAAAGTCTAAGCCAAAATTCAGTTGTTGAGTGCCCTTGAGTCAATTCCAACTCATAGAGATCCTGTATAGGACTTCCAAGGAGTGGCTGGTAGATATGAACAAACCTTGTCATTAGCAGTCTAGTGCTTATCCTATAGCACCACACCAGGACTCCAATAATTGAGTAGATGGTAACAGGTCTCTTAATGAAACTACTTCTGCACTCTTTCATAATGGAACCTCTCTGCTAGTCAAACACCACATCAGCAACTGGGTGCTTTTAAGATGGTTGAAAATCATTGGCAAATTACAATTAAGATAGAGAGAAGAGTGTTAGAATCTAAAGTTGTGGAATAAGGATCCCCATATCAGTTATCTATCAGTTTGATAGTAGTCTTATAATGACTTAAAAGATTTACAGAAGAAAAGAAAGAACTCCAGATGGCTGAAATGCTTATCTGGCAAACACTTAAATGCAAGAAACAGTTTAATTACACAGAAAGAATTCATGTTTGGGGCAATTATTTTAAAAGGTTTAATATGTCAGTGACAAGACTGGCAAAGAGTTATGTAAATAGTTAAGAACATTCAGAGGGACTAAAAGAAAAGTACTGGAAGTCAAGTAACACATGAGCAAAGTTGCTACTTTACTTTTCATTAAGTAGTATTGGGTGTTGTGCAGATGCATGTTGGATGGATCACTCTCCACCAGCAGTGTAAAGAAGGCTGATAAATCTAAGTTTATACTTTGAGGATGTTCAATTCAATCTTACATGTTTGCTTGAGGTTGTCCTAGAGACCTCCGATGTTCTGTTTCTGTTTCTTTAATTCCCTTCTAAAAGAAATGATGAGAGGAAAGAAAGGAAAGGAAAACAAAAGCACAATCTTCAAAGCAGATTTCACTCTGGCTGCAATGACATTAGTGGATGATGATGTAATGAGAAGAGGTCTGAACCCAATTTTTAGTGCTGAAGTCTACAAGCAGCTCTATACATGATCTCCTCCAAAAAAAAAAAAAACCCACTGCCATCAAGTTGATTCTGGTTCATAGTGACCCTACAGGACAGAACAGAACTGCCCGATAGGGTTTTCAAGGTTGTAAATCTTTACAGAAGCAGACTGCCACACCTTTTTTCCTTGGAATGGATAGTGGGCTTCAACTTTCAGCTGACCTTCCAGCAGCCAAGCACTTTAATACTGAGCCACTAGGTCTCCTTCCACTACAGGAATGCTAAATACCTGGGAAGCAATATGATTTTGCAGTTTCTGGGAAGGAATTAAACAGAGATGACAAGATAAAATCTCAAGGTAAATAAAAGTGTTGTTGTTGAGTACCACAGACTCATAGTGACCCTGCATAGGGTTTCCAAGGCTTTAAATCTTTGCAGGAACAAAAAGCCTCATTTTCTCCCAAGGAGCCAGACCTTGTGGTTTACAGTCCAGAGCTTATCGTATGGAGCCACCTTGTCCCCTAAATAACCAAGTGAGGTCCCCTCAAAACTCATCTTCCTTGTACCATTTTCACTCAGATGTACTGAAAACAAAGAAATCAAGATAATCTAGAGACGTTTTATTATTTGTTTTTTAATAATAGCTTCCTATAAGGTATTGCTGTTGTTAAGTGCCATCAAGTCAGTCTGAATCATAGTGACCCTGTATAGGGTTTCCAAGGAGCAACTGGTGGACTTGAACTGCCAACCTTGGGGTAACCAGTTCAGTGCTTATCCTACAGCACCACAGCAGCTAGAACAATGAAGAGAGTGAGGCTCAATCTGACCCTTTAAAAAAATAAGATAAAATTTTTAAATCGTTCTATATAAATGAAAACAATTATCAAAAAACCTTTTTTTTTTTTTTTTTTTTTTTTAAATCGAACCTTTCACTGCAGAGATCCAAAGACAGGCCTGACTCTAACAAAATCTGCATGCAAACCCTAAGGTTAAAGGAGGAAGACACACCTTTACCAATGTGATGTCTTTGTACACTTGCTAATGACGGGTGCGGTGAGATTTAGGTTGTTCTCTTATTTCCCTCCAAAAACATTACAAAGGAGCACAATTCAAAAAGCAGTCTGCTTCTAAACTTTGAGCCACTACTATGAATGGGTTGGTATGATCAATTCCCTATAAATATCTGTGCAGTAACTAGATCTGAATGAATCTTTGGCTGGCTCAGAGCTACACATTGCTGTAGTGGAGGTTGTGTACAAGGCAGAAGTTAGCAAATGCTTCTGGAACAGAAAAATGTTTCAAAGGGAAGTTTTTATTTTGGGAGGCCCATCTGCATTGGAAAAATCACATATTCACTGGATAATGGCAACAAAAAATAACCCAAAAAATTAGTAACTAATGTCTTTTATATTTCAATGTATCATAGAAGTTTGTCTTTGGGGTTAAATGCCTTTGAGTCAGTTCCGACTCACAGTGACCCTATATAGGATTTCCGAGGAGCAGCTGGTGAATTTGAACCTCCGCTAGGCAGTTCAGAGTATTATTTATTATCCCACAGTGCCACACCAGGACTCCTTATAGAAGTCTCTTGTTGTTAACTGCTGTCGAGTCAGTTCTGACTCATAGCGACTCTCTGTAAGGTTTCTGAGGAGTGAATGGTGAACTTGAAGTTAAAACTAGCTTTGCAGTCCAGCACATTAACCCAAAGCATCATACCAGGACTTTAGGACTGAAAAAAAGACATCAAGAGCCACTCAAACTCATCCCTTTGTAAGATGCTGCAACTCTTCAACCTCTGTCCAACATCCCATCCCACTCTTGGTGGACATCCAGCATAAATTCAAACATCCCTCTAGTTCTGGGAAACTGGCTCACTCGTGACATTCTTTCCCATATTTGGATAGTTCTGACTATTCTTCTTTACATTAAGTTGAATTTACAAGCAAAGTTCAATTCGAGCTGTAAATTTAAAGGTAAAGCCTTGATTATTTTCTTATTATCCAGCAATCTCTTTTTCTAAATTTCTCTGATATCAGAAGACTAAGCCACTCTTTTTCATCAGAGACGTAAGATGCTGTCAGGAGTGAAAAAGAGGAAAATTTGGGGAATGTTGTTTAGCATCTTTGCAAAGAGATGAAGAGTAACTAATTCTTTTCAAAATATCTTTTGGAATAAGAAAAATTATGTCAAATTTCTAGAAAAGGCAAGTACTTTTTATTCAAAATGTTCTCCCTAAAAGCAGATCCAGCGTTAATATTAAGGCTTTAAAAATAAAACCAAATCCCAAGCAACACATTTTATGCAAAATAGATGTTCTCAATATTTTCTAACTGAGGCATAAAGTAATGGTAATAAAATTTAATCATAACAATGAGATAATTTTGCTGACCAAACACACCCTTAAACAAGGTAATAAAAAAAAACTTTTTAATCACCTTTTTATTTTAATAATACACTCACTGCAACTGAGTTGATTTTGGTCAAAAGTAGTCCATTTACAGCATCTACATTCCATGGAAAATGCACTAAATTAATTTTCTAGAGCAATGAAAGAAAGCATATATTTAAAAGAAAAGAGATTAAGATTCCAGAATTATCTTCAATCCATGTTTAATTGCTATCTCTTTAATTGGATTACTTTAAAGTTACTTATATATAGTTGACAATACTATCTTAAGACCAAGCCACATTATCTTGTAGTTGCTGTTAGGTGCCATCGAGTCTGTACCAACTTATAGAGACCCTATGCACAACATAACGAAACATTGCCCAGTCCTGGGCCAACCTCACAATTGTTGCCATGCTTAAGCCCATTCATTGATGCTGCCACGTTGCCAATCCATCTCGTTGGGGATCTTCCTCGTTTTCTCTGATCCTCCACCCTACCAAACATGATATCCTTCTCCAGTGACTGTCCTTCCTGACAGTATGTCAGAAGTATGAGACACAAAGTTTGGTCATCCTGGCCTCCAAGGAGCACTCTGGCTGCACTTCTTCCAACACAGATCTCTGTGTTCTTTTGGCAGCCCATGGCACTTTCAATATACTCCTCCAACGCCATAATTCAAAAACAATCAATTCTTCTACATTCCTCCTTATTCACTGTCCAGCTTTGGCATGTATATGAGGTTACTGAAAATACCACAGCTTGGGTCAGGTACACCTTAGTCCTCAAACTGACATCTTTGCTCTTCAACACTTTAAAAAGGTCTTGTGTAGCAGATTTGCCTAATGCAATACGTCGTTTGATTTCTTGACTGCTGCTTCCATGAATGTTGATGGTTGATCCAAGAAGAATGAAGTCCTTGACAATTTCAATTTTTTCTCCTTTGATAAGACTGTTGTTTATTGGTCCAGTGGTGAGGATTTTTGTTTCTTTAACATTGAGATGAAATCCATCCCGAAGGCTGTGCTCTTTGATCTTCATCAGTAAGCATTTTAAGTTCTCTGCACTTGCAGCGAGCAAGGCTATAGCATCTGCATATTGCA